ACTAGCGCAATGCAGCGGCACAAATAATTTCTTTTGGCGATTAATTTCCGACGACGATAATTTTCTTTTGGTAGAATTTTTCACAAATAGTTTTTATTCTACAATTAGTTTTACTTTTAGTAGATGCCTCATAATTTCTTTTCGGCGAATAGTTTATTTGCAACGATTAGTTTCCTTTAGCAAAATATGTACCCATTTCTAATTTTCTAAAATTCTGAATCTTAAATATTGTTTGATTAGTTTTCGGCGAACATTACCTATCTTTCGAAAAATGGTTTTCTTTTGGTATGTTGTTTGGGAATAGTTTTTTCTACAATTAGCTTACATGTGAAAAGCGGTTGATAATTTTTTTCAAGGGAATAGTTTATTTTCGACTATTATTTTACTTTTGCAACACATCTATAAGTTAGGCAAAAGACTATTATATTACATGTGAAAAGACAAATTTTCAATACATGTCTCGAATTAAATGAACCATTCCTAAAATACATGGTGTGATTTCTATTTTTAACCGGATATATATGGTGTGCTTTCGGGTATTATGTAAAACCAAAACACTATTTACCTGATCAAACCATTTATAAATCACAAGTATTTATTTTTAAATTATTAGGGATATGTTATTTAACATAGATGCTTTTTTTTTTTTAGATAATCATATCAGTTATATTATATCGGTATAATTTATATTTTCATAGTTTAAAATAAATTGTACATATTTATTTTAGGTATAATAATGTTTTTAATAAGCAAAATGTTGTTTTTCTTATTATATGTTTCTACATAAAAATATTTGATAGACATGAAATAAAATCTTTATCTACGAAAGCAAATATCCGTACTTAGGGGGTGTTTGGATAGGGAAAAAAGTGGCTGTTTATTGCTTATTGTTTATTCTCACCACAATAAACTGAGTTGAAGTGTTTGGTAGGAATGCTTATTGCTTATTACTTATTGTGGTAGGAATAAGCTAAATAAGCTAATCCAAACACTTTTTAAAAAACTGATTATTTTCATCGCAATAAACTAATAACCAATAAACTAATAAGATAAAAACATATTTATCTAAACACCCTTTAATATGCATATTACATAAGCAACATAACATTTCCGTGACACTGCCATCATCCGTGCAAATACCTTAAACGTCTACAAACAGAAGATTTGCAAAGTTTCATTAAAAAAAAAAAAAGACGCATACAGATGTCCACAATTATATCGACTAAAATTGTTAAAGGTGAAAATGAATAATGCCCCAAAATTTCGTGCACCTCTACTGTCGGGTCACTCGGAAGTCATCAAATGTTATTTAGCCCAATCAATCTTTAGTCCAATTTAACAAATTCAACCCATAAGAATTTAAACTACTAGCCCACTTGAGTTTTATATATAGCCCAACTAAACTTAGAATGTATGTGCCCTACCCCTACTTGCATTTTTCAGTTAGTTGCAGCCACACAAAACATTCCTCTCGAGTTTTTATCTATGATAGGGTTATAGACAAAACTATTTTCCATTCCAGCATACATTCAAAAATATTTACCTTATTAGTATTATTTTAAATTTAAAACTAATATTATTGTTTAAAAAAAAACGTTTCTCCATACCTCTACGAATGAAACAGCGAACATAAAAAAAAAAAAAAAAACGAAAACTAGGGCTTCAATCGTCGTTCTTCAGCCAGCGGCTTCCTCCATCCATCGCCGGCCACCTGCGGCTTCCTCCACCTATCGCCGGCCACCTGCAGCCTCCTCTACCCGTCGCCGACCTCCTACCGCCTCCATAATCTGTTGCCGGTTTCAAGCTATGCAACCTCTTTTCATGCTCGTTCTTTTTTAGTTTTTTCCTGTTTAATTCGTCCATTCTGATTCTTTCTTGATTCTGATCCCTCTCCACCGAATTGATGATCAATTTTTGCTTATGTTTGATTTTTTTGTAGATGGATTTTATCACAGCTTGTTTTTTTTATGTTTTTTAGATAGAATTGATTGCATTGCTTTTTTCTTGATTCCAATTCTTTCATTATGTTTCTTTTTTCTTGTTGTCATAAATGATATGATCAGTTTTTATTTCTTTTTTATTGTTGTCATAGATGATAGGATCAGTTTTTGATTAGTTTTTGTTTGTTTTGTAGATAAATTCTATTATAGACATGATTGACAATGATGATTTTTCTATAATCTCTCAAGCTGTTGTTGTAACTAATATGATGAATATAGACAATGAACTTGAGTTACATGAAAATTTGGAAGATGGAATTGGAGATGAAAATGATGAAGAAGCACCTTTTGACAACAACGTTCAAGTACCTTCAACTTTTACTAATATGGAAGAAACAAATTTGAATATTGATGACAATTGGATTGTGTCGCAATCAACGAGCAATAATGATTTTACGCGAGAGTTGGGAAAATATTCTTTCAAGGATAAAGAGGAATTTGTTAGAGCAATCAAGATCCATTGCATTAGGACACATATACAATTTGAGGTCATTGACTCACGCCCAACTATTTGGACTCTAAGATGCAAGTTATACTTATAGTCTGGTTGCAAATGGAAACTTCATGCAAGTAAACGTAAACGTAGTGGATATTTTGAAATCACAACTTATACCGGTCCGCATACTTGTTTGCACTATGACCTTTCTCAAGATCATCCGAACCTAGATGCAAGCTCGATTGCTATGGAAACTAGGCACCTTATAAAAGCACAACCTGCTATCAGTATTCCTGCTTTGAGAGCTGAAATAGTTGAAACACTAGGCTATACTCCATATAAGAAGGTTTGGGTTGGAAAACAAAAAGCAATTGAACATGTATTTGGAAATTGGGAAGAGTCTTATGTCGCAATGTGCAAGTAGTTAATTTGGAATAAAAAACTCGCACATGTGGTAAGTGGGAGACATTTAAATATCCTTGTTCTCATGTCTTGAGTGGATGCGCCAAACTCTATTTGAATAGTTGACAATATGTTGATAAATGCTACTCGATTGTATATTATTGTGCTACTTGGACATCTGAGTTCTCTCTGTTTCCTCATGAAGCTTATTGGTCACAATCATCATTTAATGCATTACTTCCAAATTTAGAACTATTATAGAATAAAAAAGGTCGTCCTCATTCAACAAGATTAAAAAATGGTATGGATATTAAAGAAGGAAGAAATGCCACTCTTTGTGGAATTTGTAGGCAACCAGGTCATAATCGTAAACGATGTCCGTCTAAGCCAAGGTAATTAAAAAGACAATATTTTTATGGTATTGTTGTGGCTATTCTCTTATTTATTATTATTTTTTTTTTATCTTTTTCACAGGTAATGATTTATTACCGGTTCAAGTTCAAGCTAATTGTGATGTTTTTCTTTTTGTAACAAACAATAATGGATTTTTTTTGTAACAAACAATGTTTAGTGTTTTTTACCTTAAAAACATTGTATGTGTTGTAATGTTGAAGTTTTTGCATCTTAAAATATATTGTATGTTTAATTTTATGATGGCTAAAAAATTGTATGTATAAAAAATAGATATTTGAAATAAAAAAATATATATAAATATAAATCAAATTTTTTATTTAAAAAAACAGTAAAAACTTGAAAAAAAATTTGTAATTAAAAAAAAGCAGTAAAAATGTGAAATAAAAGAGAAATGGAGAAAAGTTGGATATATTTAAAATAAAAAAACATTAAGAAAAACTAAAAAAGTAAATAAAAATGACAAAAATACTAATATGGTAAATATTTTTGAAAGTACACTAGAATGGGAAATTATTTTTTCAATCACACTATTATGGACAAAAACTCCATTCCTCTCTTCTTTTTCTTGTTTCTTATTTATCTTGATCTCGGTAAAAATGATGGTTATCAGTGATTGCTACCAACGAAGATGGAAGCGGTGGTGGTCTGCGATGAGGTTGATGAGGTGGCTGGTTGTTGAGTCGGCTGTGATGATGGAGTAGTGACAATTGGTTGATCAGCGGTGGGTGTGATTTTTATGCAGCGTAGACAACGGTGGTGATTAGTGTCCAGTGTTTCCAATGGTGATGGCAACGGGTGGCGAGAAGAGGGGTTATGATGTGGAATGGTTTCTCCGTCGGTATAACGATCGACAAAGCCAACTCAAGAAGGATGGAAGCGGTGGTGGTCTGCGTTTATCAATTTATGGGAGTTAGGAAGAGATGCAGAGAGAGATGCAGTGACTTAGTCTCTAGAGTCAATGTTTTTGTTAAAGAAATCATCAATGAATACCATGAACGGAGGCCTGAGAACTGCGGAGCTACGACGACGATGTCGTTAATGTTTTGCTTGATTTAGAATCGGAACACAAATTTAATGATGCCTACATTATCACTTTTCTCTGGGTAAGCATAATTTCACTATGTGTTTAAATCTAACACACAAAATCATCACTACTTAACTCAAGAATTTAATTTTGAAGGAATTAATCTTCAAAAGGCTCCTACGTTAACTGAAATCTTAGACTTACAAATATATAATTTTTTCAATATTTTTATGTTAAATTTATTTTCTTGATCCGGATTCTATATTAAGGTTGTACTCGTATATGTTCCAGATCTAAATGTATGATGACTATAGGCTTTTTAAAGAACAAATCTAGATGTATTATGGCTATAGGATTTTTAAAGAACATAAATGGTTTTGAATCTTGAAACTTTGTTTTGAAATCTATGATTATCTTCAAACTTAATTTTGAAATTGAAATGAGCTTGTCTATGGACCAAAATTGTTTAAGGAAATAACATTACAAAGGATTCAACCGAATTCGATTTCTCACATTCTACATCTAAACCTTAAAAAAACTCAAATAAACTAAAACTCATTGTTCTTATATATTTGAATATTAAAAATAATTGAAATCATAATAAATTGAGATAAAAATAGGAACATCATGTTATCCACAAATCACGGGTACAATATACATATGCCTTTTAAGCTTTAACTGGGAAACTATTATTGCTTCTTAACAGATGAAAGTGAATACTCTTTCATATGAGGCACAACTACACCAAAGCTTGTTTCCATGATGCCATTGATGAGGGTGAGAGATTCATACAGCCTCGTTTTCAATATGTGACCACCAAAGTTTAGCCCCATGATATGTTGGTTGTAATGATGTTTAATGAAAAATGGCTGACATTATGATATCGAATTCCTACCAGTCAAGAGTGTTACTGGTTTGATTTTAAATAAAGATATTATCAAAATGATTCTCCAGAAGAAAAAAAAGAACAAACTTTTGGAGAGAGAGAAAGGGGAATGAGGTGGAGTAAAGAAATGGTTGTGACCCCTCCATCTTTTAAAGCAACTTAAAATTTGGGTAGGATGATTTGTGTTTTTTTGGTGGGTAATTTTTATCCATTGGATTTATTGTATCTTTCTTGAAATTATTTTCATCAATTGGATGTGTAAAAGTAAGGATTGGAATCCATGTGAAACAAATTGATTGGGTGTTTGGGATAGCTTTTGAAAATAGCTTATTAGCTTTTTAGCTTTTCAAAAAGCTAATAAGCTAAAAAAGTGTTTGTGTATTTAAAAATCGCTTTTTAAAACAACTTTTTGGATAGAAAAAAGTAAAGCTTTTAAAAAGCTGGAAAATCCTAGTTTTTTAGTCATTTTACTCCTACAAAACAGCTTTTCTTATCCAAACATTTTTTAAAATCCGCTTTTTTCTAAAAGCCCTAAGCTAATAAACACTTTTCTTAAAAAGCACTTTTGTGATAAAAAAGCTAACCCAAACACACCATGAGATAGTGATAAAGATGGAAGGGTTGATTGAATGGTTTAACATTTGAGTTTTTATGCATCAATTACTTGTAACAAAAGTGTAAAAGTTGTCTTTAAGACATTTTTTAAGAGATGCTATGTTTCATTGTACATAATGCATAATAAGTTGTATTTAAGACCTAAATATGTATGCTTTAT